CCAGGAAGCTATCGTTCAGCTGAACAACAGTTGAGCCCAACTAATAAATGTTTGCCTTGAGCGTGTTGTTGTTAGGTGCCATCGAGTCAGCTCCAACTCGCAGCGACCCGACGTACTACAGACTGAGACACTGCCCCATGCCCACAACCACTGCCATGGCTGAGCCCATCACTGCAGCCACTGTGTCCATCCATCTTGTTGTGGGGCTTCCTCCTGGACACTGACCCTCTACTTTACAAAGCATGATGTTCTTCTCTAGGGACTGGTCCCTCTTGATAACACGTCCAAAGTAAGTGAGTCGAAGTCTCACCACCCCCCCTTCTAATGAGCACTGTGGCTGTGCTTCTTCCAAGACAGATTCGAGAGTACTGCTCATTTAAGAATTATCCACAGAGGCTTAATCTGAAGCCAAATGAGAACTTCAAGGGGCAGAGAGCCTAAGTTAATGGTGAAACAACATGGGCAGAGATAATGGGAACAGTAATATACCAATGTGAATGAAGTTCATTAACCGATGTTAGTGAACCATTCTGTAGAAACTGTGAATGGATGTGTGTTTGGTTGTATATATTGTCACCAAAAAGAAATATAATATTTTTTTAAAAAAATACACTGTGAGCATTAAATGTAAATAAAAAGAACGTTCTTATCTACAGACAGTCCTTGGATTAGAAGCGTTCCATCCCAAAGCCTGCCTTTAAATCAGAACAATTAAGTACGGTTCATATCTAACATCAGTTAGCCAAACGTTTATCTTAGTATACAGGTACCTTTCTACACATAAAAAATACTAAAGAAGTACTTCCAGAAACCACAAAACATCTTTAACATAATGACACACTAATAAGAAGAATGAAGTTTTGATGTGTGTTGCAAAGTAACACCCCTTTGTTATTACAACCCATAGTATACACCTTAAATTTTTAATGTAACAGCCTTTGGGGGGTTGGTTCATGATTGCAAACGTTGGAGGTTCCTAACCCTGAAACTGCCTGTCTATGAAAATAGGAACACTATCTAATTTTCAGAATCTCTAGAAAGTAAAATCACTTCAGCATTCTCAAAGTTAAGATGAGATTCATCAAAGTATGGAGTCAAAGTGATTATCTCTGCAGTAAAAAAGTGCTTTGAAAAATGTCTTTGTTTTTCAAACACACAGATACAACTAGCAAAATACCTGTGACAGCTGTGTAAACATTCAGCGGCCAGTGAAGGTATTTGCTTTTTTTCACCACAGCTGTTGAGTTCAGGGCAAGGTTTATTTTCCTCTTCCAATTCAGCTTCCAAATCAAGAAATCTGAGCTCAAAATTACAGAACATTCCCCTTGAATTTTCTTGACCAGGCCGCCACCATGTGGTGACCAGTATAAAGCATACAGACTTGGGTTTAACTGCAAAAGGCTAATAACACTTGACTGCTAACAGAAAGGTTGAAGGGCCACCCAGAGGTGCCTTGGAAAAAGGCCTGGCAATCTACTTACAAAATATCACCCACTGAAAACCCTGTGGGGTGCAGTTCAACTCTGACACACATGAATCGACTCCACTGCAACTGGTTTACGTTCTTCAAACAAGAAAAACTGGCCTAAATTAGAGGCACCTGCCAGTCAAACATTACAGTTCTCAGTGGAGATACGGCTCCCCTAAGTCCTGGTCAGGGCTACAACTTGCTCTTCTCTTCATATCATGCTGCAACGTGAGAAGTGTGCATTCTGAGATCTTGGTCTGCAATCATTTATTGCTAAGTGGGCTCATTTCATTGAACTTCACTTTGCTCGGAACTTGTGAAGTGCATTGTCATGTTTTTAAATTAAAAAATGTATTAAATATTTCAGATAGGAAAATATGAAAGAATACCATGACCCACCTGTATACCCAATGCCCAGCTTAAGGAAAAAGCAGGACCAACACAAACATGGCTCCCTAGGGATTCCTTCCATTTATATCCACAGCCTTGTCCCAAGAACCACTGTCCTGATTAGGTTCACAGTTCCATGCGTTGCTTTAAATACTTTTAATGCACATGTAGGTAGCCCTTATATAAATATATATATCTTGTTGTTGTTATGTGCTGTCGAGTCGGACCCGACTCATAGCGACCCCTCCTTGGGTTTCCGAGGCAGTAACACTACGGAAGTAGGTTGCCCCATCTTCCTTCCGAGGAGTAGCTGGTGGGGGTTAGTAGTCAAGTGCCTTAGCCACTATACTACCAGAGCTCCTAAATATATATATATATATATATATATATATATATATATATATATATATGCATGCACACACACACATACACACATATACATATAAAATAGTACTGTTTATTATCATAATTTCTACTCTATGGTTGGATGAGTTTTCCCATTTATTTTTCTTCAACATTGCTCTCATTATCTTTAGAACTTTGTGCTTCCCTATAAATTTTAGAATCAGCTTGGCAAAATCTACCAAAAATTCTGTCAGGATTTTGATTCAAATTTGTAGATTGATTTGGGGAGAATTAGTATCTTTTAAGATATTGAAACTTCTTACTATGAACATGGCGTCTCCACTTTTGTTCAGGTCTTCTTAAAGACTTTCATCAAAACTGTGTAATTTCTTTCCGAAGATCACACATAATCTTTCTCACACTCACTGCTAATATAAATTTTATATTTTTAAATATTTAATTGTGTTTGTTGCTAGTGTTTAGACATGCAGATCCTTTTTGCATGTTGATCTTATATCAAGAATACAGCCAAACTCCCTCACTAATTCTTACATATATATTTTTAGAGTCTCTTGGGTGTCTATGCAAACACTCATGCCATCTAGGATTAATGACAGTCTGGCGTCTTGCAGTCCAATCATTAAACATTTCCTCTGTTTCTTGTTACTGCATTCTCTGGTAATTCCAGTACAAAAATGACTAGGAGCAGCCATAACAGGCACTCTCATCTTTCCTTTAAAAGTAATGTTTCTGCTATTTCACTATTAAATGAGATATTTGCTACCAATTTGCATAGGTGTTTTATCAGGTTAAGGAATTCCTCCAATTCCTAATTTAAGAGTTGTATTTTTTTTGTAACATAATGGATATAGATTTTATCCAATTACTTTTCCATCAAATGTGGTGACCATATTGTTTCCTATCTGATGATGTGGTGAATTACATTAATACAGTTTCAGGTGTAAAACCCCTTTCAAGCACAAGATAAATACAATTTGATCAAGATCTTGCTGGATTTGGTTTTCTATTATTTTGCTAATGACTAGTTTACCTACAAGGAGCTCTGGTAGCATAGTGCCTAAGGCACTTGACTGCTAACCAGAAGGCTGGCGGTTCAAACCCACCAGCCACTCCTCAGAAGGAAGGGTGGACAATCTACTTCCATAGTGATACTGCCTCAGAAACCCAGGGAGGGGTCGCTGTGAATCGGGTCTGACTCGACGGCACATAACAACAACAACATCAGGTCTGACTCGACGGCACACAACAACAACAACAGTTTACCCCCGTTCCGGGTGAGACTGTTCTCTGATTTTCCATTAGCATCCGGCTCTTGCCTAGTTTGGGCCCTCACAAGGAGTTAGGAGGTGCGCCCTCTTTGTCTCTCCTCTAGAGATCAGGACAACCTATTCTTTGACTAGCGGTAGAACTCGTTTGTAAAACCACCTGTGGTTCTGTGTCCACAGTATCAGGTTTTTGACTGCTTGTTGATGGGCAGACTGATTCAATGTCTCTCTTGGATATGGGTCTATTTAGGTGTCCCAACTTTACGTGAGTCCACTGTGTAAGTCACAATTTTCTAGGAAAGTGCTCTTTCACATAAAGTTTGAAATTTGCCAGCATAAAGGGGTTCACAGTCTCCTTTTTTAAAAAAACATGCTGTTTCTGTGGTCACATCCCCTTGTTGGTTCTTCGTATTATTTGATGATTTTGGCTGGTCCTGTGTCTCTTTCACTGGCCTTTTCTTTTTAATTGTGATTTGGGTAAAGATTTACAGAGCAAATTCACTTTCCATATACTTTGTCTCATGACATTGATCGTAGTTTACCACAATGCAACAGCTCCCCTCCCACTTCCTCCC